TGACTCTGTATGAGTATTGGTGAGTTCAACACCTAAGTTTATATGCATATATATAATATATATAACTAAGATTTTATATATTTATAAGCACATAAGTACATATATGTATAGATACATAATAGTACTAGGTATACATGCAAAGCAGTAAAAAATGTGACTTATCTGATAATGAAATATGTGGATATGTGGTAAAAAGCTGTTAACTTACACATGTAATACCTAGCTGCTTTTAAAATAGAATTTTTTATTCTTTTATCAGCAACTTCTCCTCCTTGGCAATATCTTTCTAAAGAACTACTTGGAAAAGGTCCTTCCTAAAAGTCTTTACTTAGTTAATGAAAATCTACTGGGAGATAGAGGGCGGTGGGCAGAGTCTGTGGTTTATACTTACTGTTGAAATTGTAGTCCCTTGCTTTTTCTAAGACTCTACCTTATAAAGTTTTCAAATAAGTTTCATTTTTAAAGATGCTTTCTCATTTTTGCTTGCAAAATTAACTAGCAGAACTGTTTGGAGTTCCTTTGGTTGTTACATATCTATACTCATAATAATTTGAAATTATTTGTTTATTGAAATACTTATTTGGAAATATTTTTCAGACACAATATTGATTTGTGAGGCAAAGGAATACTAAAACTTACTCTTTTTTTTTTTTTTTTTCAGATGGAGTCTTGCTCTGTTGCCCAGGCTGGAGTGCCATCTCAGTTCACTGCAACCTCCGCCTCCTGGGTTCAAGCGATTCTCCTGCCTCAGCCTCCTGAGTAGCTGGGATTGCAGGCACGCACCACCACGCCCACCTAATTTTTGTAATTTTAGTAGAGATGGGGTTTCACCGTGTTGACCAGGCTGGTCTCAAACGCCTGACCTAGTGATCTGCTCACCTTGGCCTCCCAAAGTGCTGGGATTACAGGTATGAGCCACTGTGCTCGGCCAAAACTTACACTTTTTTATACTATAGGACTACGATTTCATTTTCTAATGCTTATCCAGGACAGAGTTGTTCAGTGCTGACTGTGTGTCAGGTACTCAGCTAGGTGACTATACTTTAAATTTGGACTCAAAAAAATCTCTGCCTTAATGAACCCTAAGTGCGGTAAGAGAAAAAGACAGGTAATTCAAACTTACTTGAGAATTCTGAAAATGTCTTCTAGAAGGTGAGATCTATCCGGCAGGTCTTAAATAAATAATAGAATATTTTTAGTAGGTGTGGAGCAGAGAAGGGGATGTGGGAATAGGATAGATAAGGATGTGGAGGCTTAAAAATGATTTGGTAAAGATGTGTGTGTGTGTGTGTGTGTGTGTGTGTGTGTGAATAAGGTATGGAATGTGGTCTTACATTCAGTGCCCTGAAATCTGACCCGTTGATTCCTATCAAACTGATCTGTATGAACATATAGATATCTTAGCTTTTTCTTTTTAATCTCTTAGCTATATCTGTGGTTCTTAGTCTACTCAGTGGGGATTTTTCAGAAGAAGTGTTTCCAAGAAAACCTGATACAGGAGTGGGGACGTGGAAAAAAAGAGACAATGAGGAGGCTACACTCATCAGGGTTATCCACAGGACTGTACACACATCACATAAGGTCATTCCAAAATCTGCAGGCTAGGCTGGCAGGCCGGAGACCCGGGGACGAGCTGATGCTGAAGCTTCGGTGTGAAGGGAGTCTGCTGGCAGAATTCCCTCTTTTCAGGGGTCCTCAGTCTTCTTCTCTTCAGGCCTACAACTGATTAAATGCAGCCCATCCATTTTATGAAAGGTAACCTGCTTTACTCAGAGTCACTGATTTTGACATTCGTCACATCTAAAAAAATGCTTTCACAGCAACATCCATACCTGTGTTTGACCAAATATCTGGGAAGAGTGGTCTAGTCAAGTTGACACGTGAAATTAGCCATCACTGAGGCCACACAACAGCACAGTGTCAGGTAAATCTCCATGGCGAATAACTTTGGCTCAATCCCACTTGGTAGTTTTGAACGCAGTCTAGGTCACATTTTAAGAGTTATCTCAATCAGGGGACAGTGAACTGGTAAATATATCTATTCTTTCTCTCCTGCAATCATTGGTTAATGGTGGCTCCTTAGGGGACATAATTCTCAGGTTTTTGTGTGAGCAGACAAAGCTGTCTCAGTAGCCTAAGGACATTTCTCTAACAAAGAAATATATAGGTGCTGGCTATTGGAATGACAGTATGCCTATAGCCATTATAGACAATATGTCTCTAGAAGTAAAGAGATTAATGGGGTATGTATGGATCATCAAAAGCATTTGCATGTACATAAGGAGTTGGGGAAAAGAACTGAGGTTTACAAAGTATACCAGTACTAAATCATGAAGGGTTTTTCAGTACACATCCAAGAATGTAGATTTCATATAACGATAAGTTAGTGTCAGGCTTTACCAGTACCGTCCTGCACGGAAACTATCATTTGAAATCATTATATATTATCCCCAGGGTCTCTCATTAAGGAGGTCTAAAATTAGGCCCTGGAATCTGGTTTAGGATCAATGTATCAGGCTTTGGAGAGCCCCGAAAGAGTTGCACAGGTGCAGAACATGATCCTATTTACACTTTACAAAGAGCACACTTGTAATAGCTGGAAGGAAGGCAAAACTGAAAGAAATGATCCTTCTTTACTGCATTAAAACACCAGGTGTGAAGACATTACGTGAGAGGAAAGTTAAGGATATATTTAGATGGCAAATTTGACAAAAGTATTTAAAGAGGGACAAGGAAGAAAATGATTAGTGAACATTTCCAATTCTCAGGCTTGGGAGATGGAAATGATAGTAGTGCCAAACCCTGAAATATAGAACACGGAAGCAGGATTTGCTGGGGAAAATAGTGAATGAGGTTTGAATGGTCAGTGGGACATCAAGGAAGAAACAGCTGGGAGTCAGAAAGAAACTGTCAGAATAGAAGACTGTAAACTGAAGATAAAACTTTTTGAGTTATTAGTATAGCTCAGGTATTGACAAACTATGACCAGCAGGCCAAATCCGTCCTTGCAAGTGTTATGTAAATAAACTTTTTTGGAACACAGCCACACTCATTTGTTTACCACACTCATTTCATTTATGAGAGCTTTTTCTAAATGACAGAGCGGAGTACAAATATCTTTGTTATGACAGAGACTATAAGGCCCACACAGCAAACAGTACTTCCTATCTGGCCCTCTTTATAAAATGTTTTCAAACTCCTGGTGTAGATAGGTAGTGATTGAACTTTTGGGAATGCATAGATTGCCAAGGGGATGTGTATATTGCAAAGACAATTGAATGGAGCACAAACATTTAAAGACAAAGGAGAAGAAAAAGAACAAAGGAGGTGTCATGCACGTCCATGTGAAGAGACCACCAAACAGGCTTTGTGTGAGCAACATGGCTGTTTATTTCACCTGGGTGCAGGCGGGCTGAGTCCAAAAAGAGAGTCAGGGAAGGGAGATAAGTATGGGGCCATTTTATAGGATTTGAGTAGGTAAAGGAAAATTACAGTCAAAGGGGTGTTGTTCTCTGGAGGGCAGGAGTGGGGGTCACAAGGTGCTCAGTGGGGGAGCTTTTTGAGCCAGGATGAGCCAGGAAAAGGAATTTCACAAGATAATATCATCGCTTAAGGCAAGGACTGGCCATTTTCACTTCTTTTGTGGTGGAATGTTATCAGTTAAGTCGAGACAGGGCATTTACACTTCTTTTGTGATTCTTCAGTTACTTCAGGCCATCTGGGCATATACGTGCAAGTCACAGGGGATGCGATGGCTTGGCTTGGACTCAGAGGCCTGACAAGAGGTAGACTGCAAACAACAGACTTAGTGAAGAGAGGAAAAAAAGCTGTAATTTTAAATCTATATTTATCTAGTACTATTCCATCTATATTTTTTCGATTCACCAAATAAGCCAGATGCTGACAGAAAAGCAGGCAGAGTACTTGTTCTCATTTTCTTTCCTTTCTCATCTCTGTCTTGTCTTTTCTTCAACATGTGTATTAGCCTGTTTTCACATTGCTATAAAGAACTGTCCAAGACTGGGTAATTTACAAAGAAAAAAGAGTTAATTGACTCACAGTCCTGCAAGGCCAGGGAGGCCTCAGGAAACTTACAGTCATGGTGGAAGGGGAAGCAAACGTGTCTTACATGGCAGCAGGAGCAAGAGAGCATGCGAAGGAGGAACTGACAAGCCCTTATAAAACCATCAAATATCCTGAGAACTCCCTCACTATTACAATAACAGCACAGAGGAAACTGCTCCTATGATCCAACCATCTCCCACAAGTTCCTTCCCTTGACACGTGGGGATTATGGGGATTACAATTCAAATTGAGAATTGTAATCTGGTTGGGGACACAGAGAAAAACCACATCAACACGCATTCAAGAAAAACGATAGTTGGTGGAGGAAATAACAAAGATCATTCTGGAAGTCATGTTTTATTTAAAGATGAAGAAATGTTCCGAGAAACGTGTTGTTAGGTGATTTCATCATTGTGCGAACATCATAGAGTGTACTTACATAAGCTCAGATGGGATAGCCTACTACATGCCTAGGCTATATGGTACGGCCTATTGCTCTTAGGTTACAGATCTGTACGGCATGTTACTGTTCTGAATAGTGTAAGGAAATAATAACACAATATTAAGTATTTGTGTATCTACACACACCTAGGTATAGAAAAGATATGGTAAAAGATTTTAAAAATGGCACATCTGTATAGGACGCTTAGCATAGATGGAGCTTACAGGACTGGAGGTTGTTGTGAGTGAATCAGTGAGTGAGTGGTGAGTGAATCAGTGAGTGAGTGGTGAGTGAATCAGTGAGTGAGTGGTGAGTGAATCAGTGAGTGAGTGGTGAGTGAATGTGAAGGCCTAGGACAGACACTACTGTACACTACTGTAGACATTATAAACACTGTATATTTAGGCTACACTAAATTTATAAAAACTAGTTTTCTTCCTTCAATAATAAATTAATCTTACTATAATGTTTTTACTTTAAAACTTTTAATGTTTTTAAACGTTTTAATTTTTTCGTGATAGCACTTAAAACAAATATGCATTGTATAGCTATACAAAAATATTTTCTTCATAGACTTCTGCTAAAGGCTGTATTTTCAAAATTTTTTATTTTTCTGTTTACTTTGAAAACTGTTTTTGTTAAACACTAAGATAAAAATGCATACATTAGCGTAGGCCCACACACATTCATGGGGTGTTCCACCTCCATGTCTTGTTGCTCTAGAATGTCTTCAGGGTCAATTACATGCATGGAGCTGTCATTTCCTATGATAATAATGCCTTCTTCTGGATACCTTCTGAAGGACTGGCCTGAGGATGTTTTACAGTTAATAATTTCTATGTAAGTAGGAGTACACTCAAAATGATGAAGTATAGTAAATACACAAACCAGTAACATAGTTGTTTATTAGCAAGTATTATGTACCATACATAACTGTATGTATGAAGACTTTTAAATGACAGTCAGGTTTGATTAACCAGCATTGCCACAAATATGAGAGTAATGTGTTTGTTGCATGGTAACTATCACAACTACAGTGCCACCAGGTGATTGGAATTTTTTAGCTTCATTAAAATCTTATGAGACCATCATTGAATATGTGGTCCGTCATTGACCAAAACATCATGATGTGGCTCATGACTGTAGCTCTAACTGCCTCAGAAGATCCAGGAAAAAGTAGGTTCCTCTGAGGCCAGGAGCCCATTCAGTATCTTAGCCCATGCCTTGCCTTATAGGTATGTGTCAATCACGTGTCCTGTTTTGCTTTCACATTTCTTTTATCCTCCACTAGTTCCCTTTTATTTGGTTGATATGTTTTTTCTTTTTTTCCCAGATAGATACAAATAGCGCAGCCTTTTGCCAAAGAAATGATATCTTGTTTCCTTTGCCAGGAGCTGTGTACTTGCAACAGTAATATAAATGTGCGGCCCACATTAGGTACTCAAGCAACTTGTCATTTGTTTGAAAAGGAGCCCTCTACTTGACTACAAGAAACAGGAGCCAAATGAGCTTGATTCCTTCCTATACCAGCCAGCAATGCAATTACAAGAACAGGGACTGGGGAAGGACAAAGTGATCTGTCACCCATGCACACAGGTGCAGGGGCTATGTCCTTGAAGTGGTTGGTTGTGCTTGGGACTCTGCTTTGGTCTGTTAATTATATATTGTAACATGGGATTTCATAAGTGACTGTAATTCATTGGTAATTTCTTGAGAAATTACAATTTTTGAAAGGAAAGTTTTTTTTTCTTTGTGTCCCCTGATGGATTCTCATGGTTTGTAAAATCTTTAGAATTCATAATCCTTAGGTAATACACTTTGTAGAAACAGCAGGAGTGTGAGGATCTGCAAACCTTCTTTTCTTCACTGATGAGTATAAAAATGCTGTGGTTTACTTCAACTGTCGAAAGTGGGACTTTCTTCATATTTAAGCAGTGGTGTTCTCTTTTCATGCTGAAAAGCATGAATTGTCAAAAATGGACATCTTGCCATGAATAAAGATGAAAACTGAGTAGGTGACTCACAAATGTGCTTGACAAGAGAGAAATGGTTTGAATATAGAGTGTATATATACTCTTCTGCTAAAAACTTGGGAGACCAAACAAGTCTGATTGCAATGGGTAACCAGCAAACAGGTACAGGGACATCAGTGTGTTCTCATGATACCCACATCGCCAACCAAACCTCTTCTGTGTGCTCTTGTTTGTGAGACTAAGATTCAGCTCTCTTCAGACTAGGATCACAGCTTGGGTGTGATTTGATCCTGCTTCAAGCTGGCACAGCCTCAGAAGCCCTCTACCATCAGAATCGTGCTCAGAGGAAATAGCTGGAGACCATTCTTGAAGAACTGTTATCTTTAGTACTGGAGTTCAGTGTCCTGTTTGGGTCTCACTGACATGCTATTCCAGGGACACTCACTGGCATCTGAAACCTCATTCTGGGATCTGGGAATGAAACAGAATTCAGGCAGGAAGCCTTAGAAGTGCCTTATGTTCAGAAAGACTCTGTGTCCTCTTAAGGGAGCATCATTGGTAAACTTCCTACTTCTCAATTTCCTTATCTTTAAAAGTCGCTGAATGAATTAAATTATATGATGTGGAATTCATAAAGAACTCAAGAATACCTGCTATTACTGTATAATGTATTGTTTCTATTTACAGCACATACAAAGTACCAGTTTTTCCATTGTTAATGTGGATGTGAATGTTGCCCTAAAATAATTTTGTCTTTTGATTTGTTTGCTATTCTTCATCTATCCTTGCTTCTATCATTATTAAAAATTTATCTATGAGTAAATTTAGAGAGGAAATTGAAGTCATTATAAAGTTCCATATCCAAGCACAGCAATGATTTGTAATTGTCCCAACAGTTAAGAGTACATCAGTACAGCCCTAACCATACTCACTAAGGGCTTTTACACTGATTACAGAGATTGTGGGTGCTGAGTTTTCCCCATGTGTTGCCATAAATCTGCTTTTCCTTTCACTTAAGAAGGTACTTAGAATCACAAGAGTGTAAGACTGATGTTATCATAGACTAACATTATAATCCTTTTATTTTATGGAAAAAACCATTATTTGTGAATTTCTGCCATTCTTCACAGCTGGCGATGGGTCATGAGAGCTCGCTGCCAGACGCCAAGAGCCTGGCTAAGACACACGAGAGAAGAGAACTCCTAAGCACGGTGATGGCAGAAGTGTGTGCCAATTTGAGGAATGCTTTTTCTCACATACTTTCTATTTTTCCTCTGTCTGGGAACTAGTGCAAGAAATCTAAAAGAGGAAAACCAGCCTGTTTTCTCTCACTTATTTGAATTTACTAGTGTTTGCAATAGTGTTAATTTCTGGCTTTAACTGAAGTATGGTTTTTTGCAGTTTATTCTCTCATTTTTCATTCATGTATTCACTTATCCTTTTATCAACCAATATTTCCCTTCCTTTTTTGACAGGGTTCCTGCATTACATGCTGCAGATTACCAGGACAATGCCTGCTCCCCCAGGAGTTTGCAATCTTCATGTAATTTATAAAAACGTGTCCATCCACGTTAATCTAAACAAACAGTTCTCAATGGTGCTAGTGGTGGGAGGAAAGGGCTGCTCCCGAAGTCATTCTTTGGCAATGTCTGAAGACATTTGTAATGACTGAGGGACTGAGTGCTCCTGGCATGCCAAGTAGTGAAGAAATGCTGCTAGATATGCTGCAATGCACAGGAGAGCTCTGGGATAACATAAAGTATTATCCAGTCCCAAATGGGAAACCCTGTTTTAAATTTTTACTTGAGACAGGTTTTATCCTTTACTTAGCACAATTCTTTATGTATAATAAAGGGATTTGCTTCTTTGTTCATCAACTAACAGAGGTTCCTAACAGATTGTATACCATTTCATAAATATTTGTCAAAAGGATTAATAAATATTAAAGTGGATTAAATTTAATAATGCAATATAAAGAATAATGATGTGGGGGGTAGAACTGGGTTTGTATTTTTACTCCATAATTTAATATTCTGTAGTTTTGATCAAGTTACTTAACATTTCAGAATCTTGGTTGTATACTAATATAGGATATTAGTACTCACTACTGTACTTAGATTTGAATAAAATATAATGTATGTACATAATAGTTTCTTATAGGATGCATTTTTTGTCCCTTCTATGGCTAAATAAATTTTGAAAGGGTGAATGCATAGCTTTTTAAATTGATAATCCTACATTAGATATCCCACAACGTATTATTTTGGGGTTATGTGTTCAATTTTCTTTTGAATGACATCCTTTGTGAAATCAAGGTTATTCTGGCTACTGTTTTCTTTTGATTGTTGTTGCAGCCTTACAGTAGAAGGATTGAGTTTGTATTTGGGTCTGTATGCTGTTACCTGTTCTTTGTGTGCAAAAATGTAAGCACTAAATGCTCCAGATGGTACCACAGATGCGGAAAGGTTAAGAGATGTAATCAATTGTCATACCGGGGAGGCACTCAATGTGATTTTGAGTTTATTGTGAGTCCCTACTGACTGAATTAGAATGTCATGTTCTGTGACAGGATCGTAATAGATTAGATGCTTGCTCCTCTCTGCTCTTCTGGATAAATAAAGGGGAAATGCAGTTGTGAATTGCCTCACTCAGTGGTGGGGACTTCCATGATTGTCTGAGAATGTCCACTCACACTCTCCACCTCACAGTTCAAACTATTTAAGCTCAAACCTTGACATCTCCTCTGTTGTGGAACAAATGAATCATAGTAGTATCAGAATATACCAGAAAATGCTGTGCCTGCTGAAGGAATAAAGGGAGGGAGAAGACTCCAATTCTGAAGGGGAAAGCTCAAAGTTTGCCTTTAGTTTGAGGAAGAAAGCAGCACCTGAGGTGGTATTGTTTGGTAATAGAGTAATAGAAGGTTGCTTGATAATAGGTTTCTTTCTTACATAAATTGGGAAACCCATAATTTGAGAAAAGTTATTTTCCACAGGTAAGAAAGAATAGCATGTATTATATAGGTAGGCTAATGCCCATAAACCACCTAAAGCCCTTTGAAAATTATTAACTTTTTTGGCAAGTCTAGGTCATGTAATTTCCTTCTTGATAGCAATACTTTTGACCATGTAATATTGTAAGCCATCATAATATGGTGGCTCAGCCATTCAGTAGTAGTAGAAAATGTGAAAAAAAAAAAAGTTTTGAAATAGAGGCTATGATAAGCTATTGCTCTTAAAACTATATGAGAGGTAATTTCATTTTAAAATTGGTTTGATAAAGTCACTTGACATCACACTGTGGCATCTGAAAGTAAAAGTTCTGGACTAGAAAATCTTCAGTCTTCAATACGGCTCTCATGAGCTTCTATGGCAATTACACTCAGCTGTGATACTCAAATGTGACGAACTCATACAAGTTGTAAGCCTAACCTAACATTAAGTGACAGTTAGTGAAAAAAATTACTATACTAATGTTTTAACTGATATTTCTCGTTGATAATGGATTAAATCTTCTAAGATAAAGTTAATAAAATATGTAAACTAGCTTGTGAAATTATAATTATTGTACTAACAGGTAAGTACAAATGTTTTTTGTCACAATTCCCTTAGAATATCATTGTTAATAAAATTTTAAGAAGTTTTAAAGTGAGAAGCATGAGGACTTAAAATTAGCTTCCTTGGTTTTCTTGAGTTTATGGAATATATTTTCATCTTTTAGTCATAGTTATGTTTTTAAATAACTCTGTTCTGCTCCATGAGAGACATTTCAGTTCTAAATGTATGCAACCAAATTATCTCTTAACCCTCATTTTCAAACTGCAGTTCAATCAGTATACTCCAGATGGCACACAATGATGATAAAATTATGCATATGTTACATTGAGGGATTGAATATGCAAACAGAAGGAGCTGGTTAACTAAGGCTTTTAAATTGCTTCAGGACTTTACCATTCTCCTACATAATGAAAAAAAACACAGATAATGTTTTGCTTAGTTTTAGGATTTGACACTTTTTAATATAGCAAAATGAAATGCAATTGTAATCCATAATAGTCCACATGAAATTTTGCCAATGTCAATATAAAAGCAAATGTTTTCCTACATAAGTCTGTACATAGTGATGCATTTTTACCTTAGTTTATTACCAGTGATTTTCAGATTATACTTCCCTCATGAGAAAAAACCAATCTAAATTAATATATGTCACAAATTAATAGGCATTTTTCTTTTCCTAACTACATGATTGGGACGTCAGGTCATCCTCTTTTGTTTGCATAATCTTAGAAAAACATAATATTTGGGGGAATATATAGGGAAGAAAAGCAAACAAAAGTCATTTATCTCTAATTACCAAAGGATTATCAACTGTTCTATTATTGAATAATGTTTTCACAGCTCTAGGGCTCTTTAGTGTGAAAGCTACTAATCAGATCCTTACAGTCACATACAAAAATAGTTAAAGAAATCATGTATTTTTTCAATGTACTGTTACACTGTTGTCTTCAGTAAATCTACTCAATTCCAAGGACAATTGTTTGTTTCAGTAAAAAGCATGTCCATATAGTTTAGATAACTGTTAGTATAGTTTTTAAGGATTAAAGAAAATCGATGGTAGCTTAGCAGTAAACTCTTCTATATGACAACTTTGGATTATACGTATATATATATATATATAATTTTCTACCTATCAACATCCAACCAAAAATTATTATTTTGAAATGTTTAGTCTTACTGCCTAAGGTAGGTTTGTGTAAATTGGTGATACTTTTTTTTTAATAGACTTTCTTAGTTGGGAAGTCCTTTATTCATACAGGAAACTGGGTGTTTATTTTTTTTTCTGTAGTTTCATGCATTGATTTTGATGAACATTTCATGCTAAAGGAGTTTCTAAAGTAGAACAATTCAGAATCCATGAATAGTAATTGAGCCCTTTAGTTCTGCTCTAAACTTAAAACCATTATTCTCCATTTACAGCAGACAAATCATGTTGCTCTACAGAACACTGCTCTGTCATTTTAGTGTTTTGTGGTGGTTGCTTCCAGTGAGCTGGGCTGGAATATTAAACTCTCTTTGCTTCCTATGCTCTCTCTTGCTGGGCTGGGCACATTTAGGGTTCTGTTTGAAATGGGCAAAAAGCAATTCTGTTGTTCATAAAGAATAACTTGTAAGCTGGTGTGGGTTCCTGTACATTCTTTATTTTGTGAAGAGAATGTGCTATTTGTCAGGCTTTGAATCTCTGGCAACCGGCTTGCTGAAACTCAGTTTAAATGTACTGTCGTGCATAAACAATCAAATGTAAAACATAATAAAAGTCTCTTCTTCTCACTGTATTTCTCACAACAAACAAATCAGCTCAATACACTATTCTATGTACGGGGAGTTGTATCTGTCAGAAACTAATTTTAAGTGTCATGTAAAAACAAAAAGATAATAGAATAGTGAAATATTGCTTTTAATATTAAAAACGAACTCTAGCATTTGAGAAAAAGTAGCTATTATGGTGCTTGCAGAGTGATGTAGCCAAAAGCCCCTGTGCTGAGAGCTCATTTCATAGCAGGGCAATCATTTTCTAACATGAACTGTCCTGTTACAAAAGTTGTCCGAATACATGTTTGGATTCTCATGATCTGTTTTGTTTGCCTGATGGAGAAAAACTTCGAGTAGCTCTTAAAAAACAAACATACTTCTTTAACCAAAAAAATAAAATTTGTACTGGAAGCACTATGGTAGAGTGATTTTTTAGGCCTGTCTTCATAAAAAAAATGCATTCATCTAAATTTTGTGCACTACATTTGTGTACTCTCACATTTAAGATGCCATATATTAATATTCACTAAATATTATATGTGTTTGATCTTTTGATTCTTATTTAAAGATGGCTTCTACATGAATTTTCATTCTATATCGTGGTCTTTCTTGGATACTATGTAGAAAATGCTAGTTCTGAATACTACAAATATGAAAGCTCTTTTCTCCTTTCTCCTTTCTTTCCTTCTTCCTTCTTCTCTCTCCTCTTTCCCTCTCTTTGCCTCTTTCTCCCTCTCTTTTTTCTCTTCTCTTTTTCCTTTCCTCCATCCCTTCCTCTCTCCTCCCCTCCCTCCTTTCCTTGCTTCTCTATCTTTCCTCTTTCCTTCTCTTTCATTTCCTTCCTTCCTTCCTTGTTTCCTCCCTTACTTCCTCCCCCTTCCCTCCTTTTCTCCCTCTCTGCCTTCCTTCCTTCTTTCCCTCCCTCCCTCCCTCCCTCTTTCCTTCCTTCCTTCCTTCCTTCCCTCCCTACTTCTTTCCTCCCATCCTTCCTGACTTTTCTTAGAAATATAAAATGAAATAATATTTCTGACAACAGATCAAATTCTATTATAAAAACTATATAAACAAACATTTTTAGGTTACCATCAGGAGTCAAAGACTAATCATGTATTTCTCATACAACACGGTGCCAATCCCAAGCCACCTGATTCATCTGGTGCTCAGTAATAACTACGTCATTAATAACATAATAGCAGCATCTTCTAATGCTGGAAGAAAAGCAACATGATGGGTTTGCTGAGAGATTATGTGACAGCCTACAAGAAGACATCCTAATAAATATTTAAGGGTATGTTTGACCATTAAGGAATTCTATCTCAGTTGGTGAATGCAGACCCTAACTCCCTCTAATAGTATATGGCTTTGCAGTAGAAATAGAAGCATGGCCAATGTATCTTGTTATTTACATCTAAGGCATAATCAGAAGTATAAAAAGGAAGTACAAACTACACTGGGGACTTATTCGGTCATTCTATATAAGTGAGGAGGATAATGGGCAGAAGTTTAAAAGAAATGTTTATGCAAGAGATTCTTTGGATAAAAAGTGGCCAGATAAAATACAGGGTACCCAGTTAAATTTAAATTTTAGCTAAACAACAAACAACTTCTATTATGTCACAAGTATTGTGTGGGACATATTTATACTAAAAATTCAATGTTTATCTGAAATTCAAATTTAATTGGATGTCATATAGTTTCCATTGTTAAATCTGGCAGTCCTGGTGTGAAGAAAGCATTGGAAGGGTAATGGAAGCACGAGCGGATAAACTCCAGACTGATCCTGGGCCTCCCCTGCATAAATTTTCTTCTTTTTTCCATCCTGTGAAATTAAAGAAGTGGAAGTGGGGGTCATACGTGATTGTATCTAGGAAGGACAGACTGAGGGTTCTTGTATCTAGAAGCATCAATACGTAGGACTTAGAAAAGGAGACAGGGTCAACAAGATGCAGCATTAGCACCTCACTTAGTAAACCATCAAAGCCATGGATACAAAATGCAGGTTTCATCCTCAAAGAATTGTCCTATATCAATCAAATGTGCACCTAAATTAGGAGGTAGTATGAGTTGAATTTTGAAAAAAAATGGAAGAATCTAGAAGAAACAGGACCTCTAACTCAATCACCATTTTGGCGATACTTCCTATTTTCTGCTGCTGCTTACTTACAGGCGTATTTGAGACAGGGCAAAGGAAGACACTTCCATTTTTACCTGTTGTCATTTCTCTTGAAGACTACATCACAGAAAAAGTTATATTACTAGTTTTTGTGGTAAGTTACAAGGTACTCAAATCAAGCAACTTTATACTAAAACATAACTATTTTTGAGCATCAGACATACATCCAGGTGCCTTATACATCTTCTAAACTAGGCACCTCCATTTTCCATATACAAAAACAATACAAAACAAAGAAAGATTAAAATTAAGTTCAAGGTTACAAATCCAGAAAGTGAAGAAGCTGAGATTAGAATTCAGTGTAATGAGACAACCGTTATTGTTGTTTAGCTGCCTAAGAAAAAAATCAAAATTACTCCATGACAGCTTGAACTACAGTGTTTGAAGTGTTGTTCTGGCCACTTTTTGTTACTCATTGAAGTAACCCAAACATGAGTTCTAAACCTTAAGTATAAGGTCTAGAATTTAAACTAAAGCAAGTACCTGAGATAAGTTCCGGAAAGACATTCTGGTGTAGATGCTAAGTTTGAACATTATTAGCTATCATAATTCATATTCTACTTATCAGTTACTTTATTTAAACAATGCAGGTGGCAATGCTGACTACCCCACTGTGATATTGTAGGAAGAACAATGACAACAAAAGGCATACCCAAAATAATGCAGAGCTTTTTTAGTGTGTACCGACTGTGGGGCGCTATATGAAGATAAAATGACAACAATCTTTGATAGACATAAGTATAGACGTTTCCATCCATTTACCCACTCTGCAGATAATTACCAGGAAAAAAGTGGCTTTTATCCTAAGTGAGAGGGCATATATATTCAAAACACGCAGATGCGATTTTTTTAAAAAAGAAAATTTCGGAATTCATACATTTTTTAGCAACAGAGAAGTTAGATGAAGTTACTTTAAAAATTAGTTAAAATGCAAACCTTGGCCTGCCTTACAATCAATTTTTCAAAGAGGTAAGAACAGGACTTTAGAATTTAAAGATTGTAATTCGAATGAATATTAATGCTCAAGTGTGTGGAGCACAGAGGTAACTGACCTCGGACCTCACACAGTGTACAAAGTAGCTGCTTAGCTGGGAAAACCAATTTTTCACCTTCTTTTTTTTTGTCAGAAATAGGAGACACTCCACTATAGGCTGGATTTTGTTCCTTGTAGAGGTCAAATCAGTGGCTGCTTGAAAAATTCATGATCCAGAAAAGGTAATTTTTAATGAATATTTATGAGCGATGTCCTTTCTTATCAGAGCTGTGCAAGTTTTCTGAAGCTTGCCACTAAGACTGGCTTCTGATTTTTAGCAAAAAACCTCTGAATCAAAACGAGGAAAATGGACTTGATATACTCTCGTCTGACTCATTTTGGCTTCTCCTGTTATGCACCATCATTGCATATAAAACAACATTGTTCGATACTGTTCATATCACCACGGCTGCAGCATTCTTTCCATTACTTTTAGGATCCAAACGCCAACATAAAAGAACATTTAAAGGACATTATACTCTTTCTATATTTTTTAACCCTAAACACACTTTGCCCATAAGGCTGCTAATGACTCAGACCAAGTGACAATAGAAATACAGAGTTTTCCTCCACGAGCAGTGGCTCTCTCAGTCAATATGTAAAAACAATAAACTCAGAAGACTAAAAAAGTTTATAGCTAAATCGTGATGTTTTAGATTTCCTGCACTGTCTCTTAACATCAGTATAAACCAGAAGATGATGGGGTTCCAGCAAAACATCTGTTGACATTTTCCAGTAAATACATATAAAATCCCTGAGAAAACTATTGGATATTAATTTGCACTTCTAAAATAATGTGCCATATTCACACTTTTTCAGAATATTAGACACAATCAAATGTCTTTGTAAGTTATTCTAAATCTAATGGATTGTAAAAATAAAACTGCATCACGAAAATAATTCACCCTGCCTACAAACTGGTAAACATTTTAACTTTCAGCCTCTGCCATTTAATAATATGAAATGTCTTCATGACACAAAATTACTACTTTACTACTTATAGATTTTCCCCTCAAGGTAGTGTATAATAGATACACATTATCATAGTGTTAGTCTTCCTGTGGTTTCATAAAATGTTTCTCTGATGAATTAGGATGACAACCTTTATATCATTATAAACATTAGAGGAAGGCATAATGAAATGGAATATTGTACCTTATGGAATCAAAATCTTTGTTCATAAGGATTCCGTCTTTAGCTTTTGTGAAGATCAAGGTGTTTGTTGTATATGTCTAATACCAAATTTAAATCATGTTTATTGTTTTCATTGCCTATTGCTTTTTAGTATTCTGAAGGATTGGAAGTTGAAACTTACAAAATATTAAAAATATACATACATCAAAGGACTTTGGTAAACCAAGTGCTGTTTGCCTAATGCTCTCTTGATTCCAGACCTTTTCATCAGTTGTAACGCTTCACCTGGAATGCTCTTTCCTGTGTCACTACAAACCTAGTCACACCCTGTAAATAGCCTCTTTTACTGCTACTCATTTTCCAGGTCTTTGATGAAGACCTTATTAGTGGAATCAAACATTCATATGAGGCCAAGCATGGATGCTCCTTACGGAGAGCCTTATTTTGCAGTCCCAAGCCTTAGCAGCTACCTGTAGCAGCCCCAATTATATTGCGTCTGGCTGTAGTATTACACTGTGATTACATGGTAACATGACACTCTTCCATACTGAAAACTGTTCCACAAGGACCAGAACTGAGGCTTGCTGAGCACTGTACTCTCAGATCATGACAGGTGCCCTCATTCATTTGGTCCATCTTTATTTACAGAAGGCCTACCAATGGCCAGGCTGTGTTTGAGGCTATGGTGACAGGAACATGCGCCAGACAGATCACATACAAGATGGATTAACAAAAAAAGGAAAAGCCTGAGCTCAGATTCTGCTATAAAAGAACTCTGTAATACAGAACGACTAGGTGAGAGTGTGACGCCAGATTTACATTTCCTTGTCCAGAATATGTCTTCAATGTTTTGCTGATTGTTATCTTTCTCCTACCCCAAATAATTTGCATATCCACTGAATGTAAAATTATTTTCAAACTTATGATTCTATATTGAATAAATCCTTCAAAATGCTTGGAGTTTTGAGATGTAAACTTAAAAATCATTAATGAAACAAAGTTCCTGATATTTTGTTTATTTCTTCTTTCTTTTTGTTTGCTTGTTTTAAAATAGATTATTAGTGGAATCAAACAT